GCTATAATAAGCGAGAAAAAAGAGCTCCTCAGTATATACAATCGCATTACGATGGTTGGTACTCGTATTTAAGTTATTTGCATTTGATAAACACAATGAAAAACCGAACCGTCTGAGTATTTTGATTTGATTTCACTGGAAAATTTCTTGTTATTCTTAGAAATTTCCTACAATTCTTTTTTACAAGGTCATTAACTTTTCATACACTATTGAGCCATTTTTTGTACTTGTTAATTTCTGCTGAAAGGAAAAAGCGAGAAGAGAAACTTTTTGTAGGTCATATATGTGTATACAAGTATATCTACAAATACTTATATATAAATAAAACATTTATAGAGCAAATATAAATTTTAGTATAGTTTTTCTTTTTTTTAAATATATATAAAACTTGACCTTCAAAAATAAACTCATACTGCTATGTTATAAATACACACGTATATGTGCACGCATTGAAAATAGTCAAACTAAACTCTAGACATTATAGCAGACATGAAAGTTTAACTTTAAAATATATGTTTGTAAGTAACATGGATATACACATGCATATGAACATACTTGCAAGTCATCCTCGGAGAATACGTGTGGGTACATTTTTATATAAATTGCATGTGGGTATGATGTCGTGCGTGTTTGTGTGTGTGTGTGTGTGTGTGTGCATAAGTATATACGTTTGTATGTATGAAGTAAACAAACCGAAAATTACGAAAATTGTTTTGTTTCAAACTTTGAACTAGATTTTATTCAGTTTATATGCATACGTATATGTATAGACATAGAGAAAGAGACGCATTACCTACTATGCTTCTTCACAGAAACCGGCATTCATACATGTATGAATGTCTATATGTCGGTATCTCGTAGAAGAACATACTAAAACTTTAGCAGCATGCATATGAAAAGGATTCCCCGAAGGCAAAAAATCTACATGATGTTGACGTTGTGTGACGTTAGACTTGCTTTTGCTTACTCATATACACATATTTGTACATTTGCTTGCAAGCATATGTTAAAGAACATAAAGTAAAATATTTTAGGTATGTCTCAAAACACACAATGCAATACATATATATATATATATAAATGTATATATGTATGTAGGTATTCACAATTAAATGAAGGTGAAAGTGCTCATATCTTACGGTTGCCTCTTATGCTTACGTAGCAGCTAAGCAAGGAGGGGAGGGTGAAGAAGAAGAAGCATGTTGATATGTTATTATAATTGCTATTTGTGTTACAAATTTGTGTTTTATTTAACATTTAAAATAATTTTAAAACCCTATGGTTAACGTTTTCATATGTATGAAGTAAGGGTTTTGATTAGGGCGCATTTAATACTTTACATTCATGGTAGATTTCCCATATGGGTCAGTTGTAAAAAGGTGAATGACTTTGTGTGTGTATGAAAAGACTTATTTAACTGAGTGTTAAATTCCAATTTAGTTGTTCATCCGTAAAACAATAATAGCCGGAGCACGATTAAAAGGTCAAGGATACTTTTGACCTGATAAGGACAATTTAAATATGTGCGAGTTTATTTACGGAATGTTTCGAATGCATTTGAAAATTAAAGGAAATTTAATAAAAATATTTCAATGATATTTATTATATATCACCTCTTAAAAAAACTATTATATAATAACTTAAGAAGAATTCGAAGCACAAGAGTTGAACAAAAGCTAAGCTTACGACTACATTTTATTCTTTTAAAAAATTAAATTTTCCAATTATTGATAAAGTTATGAAGAGCATTTGAATGCAGATACTCAAAAGAAAACCATAAGATTTCATCTTTTTTTTTTTTCTTTGCTTTTTCATTACATTGCTAAAGATGGGGTTTTATTGTTTGGATTACAAAAATTTGCACAAAGGTAACACCAGTAACCTATGCTATTTATTGTGCAGGAAGATATTAAAAATCAAAAAAAAAAAAAAAATCACTTTCTGAATTTATCTAAGCTTGTCTGTCCGTCTATCTGTTTGGTTTTCTTTTATTCAATCTACAGGTGGTAATTTCCGGGAATCCTTTACGAAGTTTGACATGTCGACGTGTTTCTTGTCCCAAGGGCGAACGCTGTTGATTATGATTTTAATCAAACAACTTTTTCGACCACTTGCTATACAAAGCCTTACTTTGAAAACTTGTTTTATGAATGACGGCATTCAGCGAAGTGATGCAGGGAGCGAAATGGTGGGGCATATTCCACCGTAGTGTTTTTGCTTGTTGTTTAATAGATTTTACGTACACCAATTCGTCAATTCAAAAATTGATTCTGAATCGATTGGTACAACAAAGGGGGTGGGGGGTGGGGGGGGATTATCTCACGTCTTCCTGCACAAGTGTACACGGTAAGGTAAAGTGTTGAAATGTTGGCAATCCCATAACATAATTTAAGCATTTAAATAAACACTATATACATTGTCCATAAATCTCGGTAGTAGCTCTTTAAATAAGGGTTCAATTTTAAGCCAAGATTTTATTTTAGGGGCATTTCCGCGATAAAGTGAAAGTTCTACTAAGAGAATTTGAATCGAATTAACCTTAGTTTCGTTGTCGCATTCGATGGCACGTAAAAAATTCTACAAATCCACAATCCCCTGTTAATGAAACCTACACATCATAAATGTAGTTAGTTTCCATTCAAAATTCTAGTCTACGGCCAATACGTTTTCATATAACGTAAACATTTTTCTCAAAGAGCATTCCGTACCGTAACTTGGAATATACAATGACTAATGCGCTATTGAAGAATTCTTGTAGAAAATGGAAACAAATGGTTGGCTTCCGTAGTCTGAACGCAATTCAATTAATACGCAAACCATATTAGGCGGACTGCGTCCCTGAAAATTTTGAAAAAATCCAAACTTATATAGAGTAATTCGAACATGTTTAAAACATTAGTTATTGTAGTATCAGGAGCCCGATGCCGGTTATATATTGATATTCAGTACGAGCTAACATTGAATGCACAGCATGGCCCATTTCACGGAAAGGGTTAACCTCGCGGGACCGAGAAAGCAGGGTGGAACCCGTCCATCGCAATTGCGACAAATTTAACATTACTACCACAATCGGTAATTGATAGCTACCGCCGGCCGTTAATTTAATAAATAAATAAGAGAAATGGTGAATAAAAAATCTCTCTCATCTGTTAAATAAATGACGAAATAACAGAAACTGCAAGACAAACGAAAGCAATCGAGTACCATGAACCCAAGCAGGAAGCGCATCGTTTTTGTAAGTCGTGTTCTTTGTGCAAGAAATGCATATTCCCTTGAAAGAGATGGGAAAAATACCCGACTAAGAATGGACAAAAACTTTAAACTTTATACAATTTTCCGGTTTTTATGTAAGATTTTTCTTAACAAAATTGAAGTATTTCTGCGTTCACCTTTTCTTAAACGAGTTTGCTTTACCGAAATTCATAGTCAAAAGTCATAGCATACTTTTGTCAAAAGCTTTTTCATTTGTTTCAAAATTTCTTATTGTCTATCGTCAAGGAGTAGCAGCTCTACTGGTAACAAGACTATCTAACATATTCTTTCGTTGAAAAGTGACTATTGAAAGATTTTCATGTGATGTTCGTTTATTTCGTTTTTTTTCTTAAATAAAAATTTTTTTACTTTTTATTATGTTTACAAAGCTTTTTTATTTTAAATGCTTTAACACTCAAACCGTACTTGTTATTAGTCTAAATTTTTAATTTCAATAATTCATAAAATTACTTTAAAAGCTATATTATACATCTCCCTATGATTTGAAAGAATTTTTTTAACAAAAATTGTATATAAATATAAAAAGTTAGACAAAAAGAAATAGATTTAATTTTATAACTATGCGAGAGATTATTATCTAAATATTTTCCATTTTTAAATACTATGTATTTCTCTTAGTACCAATCATACAAAAACTAAAGAATATGATAATCCATGCGAGTATTACCAAGAAACCGTTATAAACGTCCGGATGAGTAAGATCCCAGCCTTTTTCAATTATATTCCGTGCCGATGTTGTGGATAATGTAAAAGGGAAAAACACCACAATTTTGCGCAAATACGTTGGCATACCTTCCAGGGGCCACAGAAGGCCTATAATATATAATATAATTTTGAAATACTCTTATCTCAAATTTAATTATTTATTTATTTTTATTTTTTTTTTTTCTGCTTACCACACAATATAATCATTGGATAAAATGCACCTGTAGCGGAAAAATTTGCTTCTGTATGAGACTTACACCAAACAGATATAAGAAGACCTTTAAAATAGCAATTTTTATATATATATATATATTAATTTTTATATGTGAACTTGTTTCCACTTTGAGTGCCACCACTCACCAAATAACATGCCGCAAAATGAATTTAAGCTTAGTAGAAATATTAAAAGGAGAGTGCTGCCCCTGTTATAAGTATCGAAGACTAAACCTACGAATACTATTACTTCCGTGCTTTGTATAATCATAATGATTAATTGTGTAAACAAATGTGCCCATAACATTTGAGTAGTCGAAACGCCAGCCACTAAAGAACGATCCCATATACCATCCAAACGTTCCGATATGAAAACTGAAGCTGTCATGAGAGTGGCCAGAAAGAAGACCATTCTGAAGGACAACGAATCCATATACAGATTAAGCGAATGTGTTTATTTGTTTGCGTGCACTTACGTCATTATTACTCCTGGCGCTACAAATTGCTGAAATTCTGTATCTTCTGAGCCATAAATGGGTTTTTGAAAATTAATCGGCAAATTGCCCACAGACGCGGGCAGGTTGCATTCATTTATTATTGTTTTCAGATAATTGCCAAAAGCTTCTCTTAGCTTCTGTTCCAAAAATAGTGACACTTGTCGATCTAAAAATTATATAAAGCAATTTAGGTTCGAAATATTGCAAATTCCTTTGTATATTATTGTTATTTTAAGATGTATATTTCTATCTTGATTGCGGTACAAGTATAGAATAAGCTTGTAGGAGTGCATGCAACACACAGAAGGACTTGAAATAGATTCATCTGCTACCATACCCTTCGACTCAGAATCACTTTCTGAATCGATTTAAATTTATCTCTGCGTCTGTCCTTCCGACTTGTTTGCTTGTATCCAACGTAGTGTGCGTAGTTTTTGCAATATTTTAATAAGTTTTGCCCCAAGGACAAACGGTATGGTTCGAATTCCCTTCGACGACTCCTCATGTAACGCCTTATTTGGAAAAATGTTTATATGAACAACTACACGCCAATGCCCGGTATTTACCGGTAGGCCTTGACCTACTATAGAGTTTTTATGGTGTTTTTAAGTAACAAATATATATAAAATACACATGTACGTATACATACATATGGAGCACTATAACCTCTAGCATGTTTTTAATTTATTTTTTTGAACAACTTCACTTGTCATTTTAAAAATAAGCAAAAGCAGAAAGAGTCAGAAAAAATCAAGTATCATTCAGTTTTTATTCTTTTGAAGATGCAATGAATTTAAGAAAAGCACTTTCACCCTCCTGTGACCTGTCATTTTTGTGATGGCGGATTATCATGTCAAGAATGTAAACATAAAATAGCTCCTGCCCATCTTAATACAGTGACGGCAAATCAGACTGCAATAAAAACGGAAGAGTGGTTTGAAACAAGGATAAATGCATTGGATTAAATTAAAGGGTTACATTGGTTGTGAAATCTCAAAAATTGCATTTTTTTTTATCTAAATTATAAAACTCTCAAAACTTGCATTTTTGAGGACGAAGGTGGAAGTGCTACCTCACATACACCAAGGCATCGATTGTAATAAAATTTTGCACATTTCTTGTAAGTGGGTTTGATTAGGATACTTTTGGAATGTAGGACAACATTAATTCGCCAAACAAATCGTGCTCTCTCACACACAACTCTGTCAAAAACTCAAAGTTCAATTTTTGAAATCTTCATGGAAGGAATTGAAAAAATTACGTTCTTTGAGTTCAAATGAGTTATTGTGTCCACTATGAGTTTACAGTTTCCTTTTTATGTATTCATATATATATATGAAATTTTGAAGTAAAGATTCCCTTCTTTTTCTTCTAATTTTAATTACGTCACTGTTCAAATTAAATCTTTAATCTTAAACGTTGTTTAGTTGAATGCTTGATATATACGAATAAATAAATAAAATAATTTTTACATGAAAATTTAAGAGTTGCTCTAATACGTGTTCAAAAGTTTGAATAAATTAATTCATTTATTATATTAACAACAGAAATACCGCGTAGGTCAACTTAATTATTTTCAACTTTAAAGCTTCAAAACAGTAGTTATAAGGCATGTAAAGGTTTAACATTGCTGGGTGGCTTCTATTTATTTGAAAAGACCTTTAACTATAACCAATTTTTCTTTACTTGGCTTAAGCAATGTAACATAGTGTTCATTCTGCCGGTAGCATTCTATTATCTCTTGAGTTTTTAAAGATTTCATTCATTGAGCGCCTGTAGCTTCAAGCAACTTAACTAGCGTTAGCTTATTGATCTCCAAAACTAAATCTTGGACTATAGCGCACACAACTGGTTGAAGCCTTTGAACGTCGCAAACACATACGAACTTTCGCATGACCCCCATTTTTACCATTGCATATGAAGAGGAGTGAGGGAGCTCCTTATATATTTATAATAACGTCACTAGCTAAAGTAGAATAATTGTAACTAGCAGACCGGTACTACCGGGAAACCGTAATTGTCTGTCAACAGTGTTCCCATATTTATGCCAGACAGGAGACTAATTGAGTGATGTGCTACATAGATATTCGATGCGTAAGCTTTCACTTCGAAGAACACGTCAATATAGCACTGTGTAGTGCAGTTACGGAATCGATTTTTATTCATTATTGGTTTACCTGTCATATCCAAACGTACTGCAATTTCAGCATTAGCTATATCTTCGTCGTCGGCATTGCGTCCATATTCAATGAGAATTTGCATAGATTGAGAAAAATTATGAGGAACATATACGTAACCTAAGATATCGGCTTCCTTAGCATCACGGTAAGCGTCTTCCAGATTATCGTAGAAAATCTGAAAGTAAAATTTATATTAAAAAACGGTAGCATTATATTGAAAACAACATCCCATTGTTCAATTGCTTTGTACGCACCCTGTTTATATGATTCATTGCTTCCAATTCTTTTACATAAAGACATGACGTGTTACTTAGATAGCATGTTTCATTGAAAGCGCTAACCATCCTTAGCTGAGGATCGTGACATGTTTCCCATTTGGAGAACTCTTCACTTACAAGGCCAACTTTTAAATCTTGAGGAGTACGACCGATCGCTAAGTAAAAGCATGTTAAATCTATTAAGGGGAATAATAACATAAACACGACGCCTCTGAAAGAAAATGTGGAAGAAGTAGAGAAAACTCAATTCATTTTTATTCAATTTAATAATATACTTGAAACGTACGATGGTTGTCTAGATAATTGCACAAAATTTTTTATCATTAAAGCTTTTATTCGCCCTCGAGTTATAAATAACCATTCCCTAAGATCTTTCATTTTGTGCTCCTTATTCGAATCTTCCATTTCCAATTGATCTTTTATACTACTTTCTTTCTCGATTGCTGAGTCAATGACTTCCACGCCATCACATATCGCAGACGTTGCTTGGTAGTCAGCTCTTGGTAACTGTGCTACATCTATCACATCACTATCACCTTGCCTTTGGCTAAGTATTAGAAAAGCTTCTTCCACAGAGTTAACTTCGAAACGGCGCATAATGTTTTCTGGAGTATCCTCGGCCAACAGAACACCATTACGCATTAGACCAATCTGTAATACAAAGCAAAGAAGATATTACGCTTTAGGAGTATATTCTGGCGGTGTGATCGGCCGCTTGTCGTAAGAGAAGACGATGCATTTGTTTGTTATAGTTTAATGGAGTTTGATTTAGTTTTCATTTTCCGAATGAATAACAAAGCATCCCAATATCAATTCAATTTTCATTGAAAACGTTAAGGTCGGGCTAGACCGACTTTTAAATACTTCACATCACTTTGTCTAACATAAGTTTATTTTTGCCATAGAACACAAAAATTACACCCTGCTTTTATATGAACTTACTATTATGAAACTGTGCATTTCGATAAGAGGTTCAAAAATAGAGGTACGTGTTCAAAATTCAGAACTGTTAATTTGATATCAAATTACTATCACGGATCAATTTTCATCATGACATAACAAAACTTGGACTTCTCTGTCTTAGAAAACTACAACTTTCGTGCAAATTCTTACATAGGGTAGAATACAAATATAGCCGTACATGGTCCAAATTTGATGCAGTTTACTTTTTTCATCTTCAATTACTATCAAGGTTTGATTTACTGCATAAGGCTTTGAAAATTTGTTTTCATATGAACTTTAGTTTTTATTACATCAGAGGGGGGTTCAAAAAAATTCCCCGGCCGGTCCAACATTTTCACACCAATTTAGAATGCCGACATACTATTACTTAGCCACTTTCGTCAAGAAATTTTCAAAATTGCATTATTTCCATATAACGAATTTCCAAAATAGGTTATTATATGAGAAGTGGTTGAAAAAGTGGACCGACCCAAACAGAAATACTTTTAATTATTTACAAATAGCTTTTAAAGGTAATTAAAAATAACACCCAAATATACTAAATATATAAAAATTAAATTAAATTTCAAAATTTTTTGACTACCGTCATGTCAAGGACATAAGGCTATCTATGAGAAAAGCACCACTCAGTCAACTAGTGACCTACATTGAACACACCCGTTAAAAGAATTTCCGCTTTACTCTGAGCTTTTATGAAACAAAGATGAAAACACCACTGCCCACCATTAAGTACACTGCAGCACCCTACAGTTATTCATGAAACGTCTTTTTAATATGAGGCGTTTTATGGGAGCTGGTCCGATTCGAAAAAAAGTTCATTAAAAAAATGTATCTCAATAATTGCGACCGGTAGCTTGAACACAAATTTACATGGACAGGGAGATAGACGGACAGGCAGGGCTAAATCACTTTCTGAATCAATTCGTATAATACAATCTTAAGCGGTTCCGCTTGTTACATACGTCCGCACAAACTTAATATACCCCGAACGACAACTGGTATAGCGTATACTAAGGTTTTGAAGTCATGCAAAGCCTGAACAAAGAAATGCCATGTGGTCTGTGATGTTTCTGTTAAATTGCTCCGAATAAAACTTACACAATTCGCTTGTCTAGCTTCTTCGATGTAATGAGTTGTTATAATCACAGCCAGTTTATTACTTCTAGTTGTTTCTATTAAAAATTCCCAGATTCTGCAAAACAATAAATGTTTTTAGAGGTACGAGTTTCTAAGTTTATTCGATTTTGAACTTACTTCTCTCTTAGTTCAGGATCTAAACCCACTGTAGGTTCGTCTAATATCAGTAGCTCGGGATCGTGAATCAAGGCGCAGGCAAACGATACGCGACGCTGTTGCCCACCACTGCATTTCTTAATTAATTGACCTGTAGGCGGAAGTTGGAGGAGACTGCACAGATTTTTAAATTTTTCATAAATCCTTTCATCTGTCATGCCATAGATTCGACCAAAGTAATATATAGTTTCTCTAACAGACATTTCTTCGACTAAAGCAATTTCCTGTAAATGAAATCGTAAATTTTACGCAAAAATTAACTAAAAACTAAAAAAAAAAAAAGTTTTATTACCAACCTGTGGCATGTAACCCACTCTTATACCTGGTACACCGCTACCAGGCATACCAGGCTTTACACCGAACACTCTCACATCTCCGGTGTTCAATCGCCTTTGACCTACTAAACAAGAAAGTAAAGTAGTTTTTCCACAACCTGAAGCACCCAATAAACCGTAGCTGTGCAAATAAACGAAATAAATAATATCGATAAGAATAATTAAAATTTTTATCTCGTTCTTGCAATCATAAAATTCATTATTTTCTTCTGTTTTGTTTATTCTACTCACATAGAACCACGCAATACGCTCATATTCAAATAGTTAAGCACAATTTTTGGATTCGATTTGCTACCGTAGTATTTGTAGCCATTGCGTACTTCAACCGCTGTCGCCGACGATGTCATTTCGTTCAAGTTTAATATTCTTTTTTAGTATTGATATACAAGAGCGTTTCCTTTAAAATGCTTTGTCTACCTTTACGCGCTTTTTTTTTTTTTTGTTTTTTTATTATTTTTTACTTTTGCTTTGTCTATCTCTACCAAGATTCGTATAAATGACGTTAGTAGTGATTTTTCTATCTTTCTCTATGTTGTGTGCTCGAAACTATACAATGTGCGAACGACGCACAATCGTTTATTTATTATTCAAAAGCAATATGATGGAGAAGATGATTAATTAGAAAAATCGGAAAAAAAGGAAAAAACTAAGATTCGATTTATAGATGCATGCGAGTTGCGTATTAATAAATTTTCTTTTATTTTTTTCTATTTTTTATTTTCCTTATAATTAGATGAAAATTGCTTTTATCTTTCTTGGTTCATAATTGTGCGAGTTTCGTTTTTCTAGGGAAGAATTTATATCCGGAAAATGTGCGGGGATATATCGAAACTACGTTAGTTAGGAAAAGTTGTTTAGCGATTCCTTAGTTTGAAAGAGAAAGTTTATGTGCCATAATCTTTTTGAACCGGAGATACTCGACACGAATTACCCGACCTTAATATTGAATTATCGACACATGAATTACTCCAATCAACTAGCGATCCTAGCGATCTGCCGACAAGAAAATCGGGAGCCTGCGGGTCTTCTATATTATGTTACTAAGCCATCTTCTTGTTTAATTCCTACAACGTAAATACATTCTAGTTTTCTTTCCGCTTTCGTGAATTGAAGGAAATGAAGGAATCTCGATTTATTTCGAAAACATCTCGCTTTCTCACCTAGAGAGGGAAAATTTTTCTCGGTTTCTAAAAAAAAGCTAAAAAAACATGTGTCAACAGGAAGTATTACCTAATGTGACTTTCTTTTGTTACACCTTCGCTCTCTTATTAGTTCTTTTCACCTAACGTTGTAGACTGAAAGCTAAGCTAAAAGATACAATTTGCGATGTAAATTAATGCCTTTGGGTTAGGGAGGCATTCATTATCGAGTACATTCCGCCACAACTCTGCCCTAAATATATCATGTTTAACGAAAGGCTATTTTTTATAGAAAGTATTTATTAATTCGTCGTAACAGTGTGAAAAAAAAAAAATAATAATAATAATTTGCACTTAACTTGTTTGTTTATTGTCAATTAAAATTTATTTATAGAAAATCATTTTCTTTAAGAGCTTTTCATCATAGCTTTGCTTGTGTCAAATCACGTATTGCTTACTATTAGTATATATTTAAGTATTATAACCGGCTTATATTAAAGACTTGTAAAAAAGGAAACATTCTATAATTTTTATTTACATTTTTAAGTTAAGTGATTTTTAATTACGCAGTTAAAAATCGTCGAAAAGTAGAGCTTAGGGTAAACGATATTGCCGTTGTACGATACGTATTAGAAGAGGTTTCATTGCACCTAAACACGTCAACTCCCAATAAACAGTAAAGGTTAATGCGATTATCAAGCGGTTATAAAAACCTTTTAAAATTTATATATTTTTTAAAAATAAATTTCAAAAATTAATTTATTTACAGTGTTTACAGTAAATACAAACATGTATTTTAAATTATTTTATTCTCCTTGTGTCTTAAAAGTGCTTCTTATGTTGACGGCAGCGCTTGTCCTTGTTCGGGTAAGTCATCAAACGCAGTTGCCAAAAAGCTTTAGCGCTTCCGTCAGTTTCGATTTACCATTTTTAATGAATACTTAAAACGAATGCATTTAAATCTCATTCTCATTCCAATTCTTTTATTTCGATTAGTCCGTAAGAGAATTTCAGCGCTGGCTGTGTTAGCCCTAAGTCAGGAAATACTTTTTTCTCGGCATTCCTCGTGATAATAAACTTATATTTAAATATGTCTTTGTAACTTAGCAATTCTTTCAACTTTACAACGGGTCTGATACACGTTTAAAAGAATTTCGCATTTTATATATAATTTACATATGTATTTACATACATATTTATATATGTATTACATATAATATATATATTTCGTTGTAGCGTATGATTGGCGTATTTGGAAGAATTTCTCTTAAAAATGCAGTCCTTCAAATTAAGAACTCCAACGTCACATTTGCAATCTTCCCAAAAGTTGCATATCACAAACTTTCTAAACAACTTCTTGTTAAAAATTGTACTGACAAGTCGCAGTCGTTCAAATTTCGTTCATCTTGAAAGCCTCTTTTAGTATATTTTACTTTCCTTATTTATATCCTACAGTTTGTGCGTACGTTTATGACATGGAAAAGCCTTTAAGATAGACTCACTTTTTATTATACCGCTCGATTCAATCTTTTCCATGGATTCCCCCGTTCAATCTGTAGGCCGCAATTTTCGAAATATTTTGATGTCAAACCCCTTTGAAAAGGACTTGTATCGGTCTTGCTATTTTCAAAATTGCTCGACAAAGATTGCTAAGTAATAGTAGTTTGGCGTTCTAAATTGCCGTGAAAAACTTGAATTGGAAGGGACAAAGTTTTTAACTCGCCGCCCTATAACCACTCCTACGAAAATCGGATCTTTATATTCCATGAGGAAAATTGGTCCATAAATCAACTTTATCGAATGTGGACTAAGTAGATCTGTTTTTTACCTGCTCATGGATCTTTTAGATTAACATAGAATTTGACTGGAAGGAATTGAATCGTATGGATCTATATTTGAGACTCATTCCCTATATTGGATTTGTTACGAATAGTAAGTCCTTGTAAAAAAGGTTTAATTTTTAATATCTTCAGGTGAAAGTTGGTCCCAAGGGACTATCTAGAAAAAGTGATAACCATGCGGGACTTGGATTACATAGGTCTATTTAATAGACCCTATGGGTTGTCACGAAAAGCAAAGGCCTTTTATGGAGGAAAGTCTAGTTTCTAGTTTTCTATGACGAAAACTGAAAAGCGATACAATTTTTCAAATCACGCCATGTAATGTTTTAGGCATCCCTCAATATGCGGGCCTTCACGAAAAGTGTACCTTTGCATGAAAATAATTTATCATGTTTGATGTACAATTCCCAAGACGAGCGAATAACTATGCTAGCCGAAGTTGTTTAGGACCATTTTCGACTATAATGTTCTTAGTTGTTTTCCTGCTTTCAACTTATGATGTTACCTTTTTGCTATAGTTTTCTTTTTTAACCTGATTTTTATTACTTTCCCTTTGTTTCTTTTTATATATATAAATAATTTTGTTCCCTTTCACGTCTTTCTAACATATGTCCGATTGGAGCAAAACTTTAAGAAATTTAATATTTTATCCAGGCTTAGGCAAATTACAAACAATCAATGTTCATTAGTAATTTGCTAGAGAAAGTTTCCCTATTAAAATTTCTTACATGTTCAAGTATATTCATTCTGTAGAAATTTTGCATACACTACGTAGCTCACATATATATTACTACATATGCAAGTATTGACGGTTTGCAAATATCATTGTTGACAATGAATGACAAATGAATGCTCTGCAGCACAAACAGTTTAGTAAGCTTTTCCTTGTTCTATGCGTTGTATTCAATGTTTTCTTAAGATTTTTTTAAGTCAATATTTACAAAATTTACATATGTTTCATATTTATTTATAAAGAAAAACTTGACATTGCAAATAAGAAATTCGTGAGAGGAACTCATAATACTTGACAATAATTTCAATTACAAAATACCGTAAATAGAAACTTTGAAGTGCATGATTGCAATTAATGGCGTGGAGAAGTGTTTCTTATTCGTTACAAGCTATATGCGAATCTTACATGCCAAGCACTTTAAAGCCTTGTACTTATCTATCTATTATCTGTTGATCTTTTTGGAACTGGGCATACCGTGTCGTCAATGCCATCAATTTTCATTCAATTAGGTTGAAATGTACGAAATGTACTGTATATACATAGTAAGATACTTTAGAGTAACACGAAAGGTTTTCTTTAACTCTGCTTTTGAATTTTTGATTTACAGCCGATTTTCGAGGGGTATTTTTGAAATTCGAAAACATTTTATTTTACACCCCACATGACGTAAAAGGATTCGTTGAGTTTAAATAGATAAATGCAACATCCAGGAAGCCTTGAGATAGATTCATCCTTCATTATACCGACTTACGTTTTTCCGTCCGTCTGTCTTTTTTATTTTTCGTGTTCAACCTACAGCAATATTTGGGATATTTTATTGAAATTTTATATACTCACATGTTTTAGCCCAAGAACGAATGCTATTGTGCGGACCACTCCGGTCGAATGCGGTGAAATCAATATTTTCAAAAACCTTGCCTGCTTCACCAAAGCTTTGACCAATATGCGAAGAATGTATGCAAAATGGTCTTATGCGAGAAGGTAAAACCAAAAAAGTCTTCTAACAAAAAAAAATTTCTTTCTTGCGAGAGCGATTGTGCCGGTGTTTCCTTTTTAATTAAATATTACAACATTTTTTCAAGTAACTCAATAATACAAAAAAGTAAAAAAAAAAAATTTTCTCAACATCTCGCTTGACTGATCCTGACTGACGCTTATATACATAAAAGTTGGCATTATCTCACGAGATAACCATAAAACCAGTGCAAAAATTTATAGCCTTGTAAGGCTGATCATTAAGTATCCAATAGCACTTCGCATAATATAGTTAAATAAAAGGCCTTTAATACGACAACCGTTCAAGGTAGTGAAAAGTATGGGATGGGGGGCAATAAAATGATCCGGTCCGAACTATTTTCAATAGCCGATGTACCAAATTCACTCAAAATATTTCAAAAATCAAACAGACGGACATACGGACAAAGTTAAGCAGGTATGGCAAGAGGTGACTCTATCTCTCAGTATTTTCGCATATTGCATATATCCGCACAAACTTAATACATACTTGCACTTTACGTGGCGGAAAGGTATAGAAAGCGATCATCATCGAGAATTTGAAAGATTTCGAAACCAAATAAAAGTAATGCCGCAAACTTAATTATCAAATTAGCGTACGCCTATTATCCTATTAGCAACTCTTCATTGGATATATAAATAACAAATATATGTTTGGGTATATAAATCTGTAAAAATGTAAAAAATATTCTGTATACAAAGATTTATATCATTTTTATATATCATTTTTATGGCATTTCTTGACTTTTCTCAGTGTTAAGGTGTCTCTAGCTGTAAATCAATTTCTTAGTGCCGTCTTACATTTTAGTCTCGCGGTACAGTTTAATCGTTGTAACAATACTATAATAACCCATAAAATTATTTTTCTAAATTGCATTTTATTTTAGGATTTTGAAAACAAACCACACAACTCTAGAGATTCTCCTTACGTCGGAATGTAACCACAACGCGAACGGAGGATTATCTCATAGTGTAAAATGCTTTATCGTTTTTTTTTTCAAAAAGAATTAATTTAGAACAAGTAAGAAATTATATTCGGTCGTGATCGAATAATTTATGCCCATCGCCACTATTCTAAAAAAGACTAAAAAAAAAAACAAAAAAGCACTAAATTTTAATGCTGTGTGGGCGCGACTGATGAAAGTGGATGTTTGCGCGGAGTGCGCGAGGTACTTTTTTGAACCAAAAGCAAAAGAGTTCGCAGTCTTTGCTGCAAAGGCTTGTATGCGTTGTTGTATGCGTTCCTTATGATTTTGTGTGATTTTTCAATTCTTTTTTGGGGAACGGAAATATGTTAGCCGCAGACACTATAAAGTTGGGCAGACGGACATGCTTAGGTGCGTTCTAAATTCAAAACTAGCCAAGACTTGATGTACTTTATGGGGTTTTTGAAGCTGCTTCTGCGCTTTGCAAAGATATTGAAAAAAAAAAAAAAATTTTTAATGCATTATAATATTGAGTAGACTTGGTCAATTCTTCCCATTTTTTTGTACTGCCATTACAGTATCGTCCATGGAGCGTGCCTTCGAATTTTTGTAGATTTACTAGTAGTTTATGAGTAATGAGAAAAAGCCCAATTTTTTCATTTCTTTTGAATAACAGAGCTCTTCTTAGTTCACGTGCTACTGTGGGCGTGCCCTTGGATCTGACCCACCTTCTAAATCAGCCTGCATAGAAGAACGTCCAACGCCAAACTGCCAAATTTAAAGTCGATAGCTTCATTTACATCCAAGCGGTCAGCCGAATATGCTTAAATCAAATTAGAATTTAATGCTGATCAAGCTCGTATGCACTGCACGGGATCCCTGAAGTTCTCTTCTGAGCGTTGCAAACATTTTCATAAAATGAATGAATAAACCCCTCATCCTTCGGTGATAGGTATGAAAAAGTGTGCGTTTGAAACCACTATTTTTAAGCATTAAGTCATTACTCAGGCGAATATTTTGAGACGAAACCATACTGAAAAACACATTTCAAAATAATTATTAAATTTCATATCACTATGTGCTTATAACTGCTGACTAGTAAAAAGAATTTATCGAAGTCTTTGGCATATTGTCGAAGTTATTTCAATTTTGGTATATTTACGAAGCTAGCTAGTGCTCCAATTTTTAGCTTGATGCAAGAGTGCAACTCAAACACGACACAAATTTCAGTTTTCTATATCGTTTTTTGATAAGAAAAATTTAGTCCAATAATCGAAACTTAAACAGAACTATTATATGGGTTTCATTTTCAACAGATCAAATCCAACCAATTCGAGCCTTCGCTACTTTAAT